AGCACCTCACCTTCAGCCGACTTCGGGCTGAGATGCCCGGTAAGTCATCTGACGAGGTCCTCCAGGCCCTTCTTACGAAATTGCGGCTCTGTAGGAGAGCACTCGGGATAAGTCTGGCGGCGAAGGTGGCCTGATCGATGCAACGCTCAGGGCGTGCCGTGGTGTGCCTGAATTCCGACTCGCGATATACTCTCCGCACCTACATTTGAGGGATTGGCATCACAGCTTCGATCATCGCTATCTGCCATGCAAGATGAACGATCTGAACAACCCAGTGGCCAATATCCCCAAGACCTGGATAGAGGACATGATCAGCACTTCGTGGATCGCAAATTTCAGCGAAATTCCGGCGGAACAAGAGGTCAATCACAAAGGCGTCAGCCAAATTGGAAGAAGAAATGCTACGTTTGCGGCAAGGAAGGTTGTTTCTCAACGAGACATCCTGAAAACGAGAGAAAGCAGCCAAAGAGAAGTATCTACGAGAGAGGCTTCCACGGTCAATCTCGTTCGTATGCTATGTTCTTGGCTGACTATGAAGGAATCACAGGATCAGGATGACTCGAGCACCGAGGAATCCGATGATTCTGACTCCTCTGACCCTTATGAATCGTTCTACGCTGCTGCGACCTTCTGTCCAACGAAGCTTTCCATCATCGGATCTCTCCAGTAGGCATCAAGTTATTCAACAGTGACGAACCCACACAATTCATACTAGATCGTTACTCTCAAGACTCGTTCCAAGGAATCATGCCGGACACAGGTGCGGCATGCATATCGACGGGAGGAATCGAACAACTGCGTGCTCTCCAACGAGAGATGCCCCCAGTCCAATTCCGTGATGATCGCAAGCCCGAACCAGTTAGATTTGGTGCAGGAAGATTGAAACACCACTTGGCGTGATCACCTTGAACACACCAGTGGGAGAGGTTGATTTTCATATAGTCAACGTGCCAACGCCATTCCTCCTATGCCTAGCTGATATGGATCGGCTCGGCGTATATTTAAATAACGTCACGAACGAGCTCGTTGGCAATGGTGTGAGCGTTCCAGTGATTCGAAGATGGGGTCACGCGTGGTTCTTCTTGCGGAAACAAGAGGCATCAGTGGCATATCTCACGGAGGCTGAATTGCGGCGCCTCCACACGCGTTTTGGTCATCCATCCGTGTATCGGCTGCACAAGCTGCTGAATTCGGCTGGCCATGATGTGGAAATCGAAGCTCTGGAAATGATCAAGAAGTTCTGCCACTACTGTCAGATGAAATCCGACCCGCCACGAAGGTTCAAGTTCAGCTTGAAGGATGATTGTGACTTCAATTACGAAGTCATCGTTGATGTCATGACATTGGGTGGCAGACCAGTCCTCCATGTTGTTGATCAAGCCACTGCCTATCAGGCAGGGAGATTCCTATCCAACATGACGGCCAAGGAAACGTGGCTCGCGTTGAAACAATGTTGGATGGATACATACCTTGGACCACCCGATGTGATCACTCATGACGCAGGCACGAATTTCGCTGCTGCCGAGTTCCAAGCAGAAGCGAAATTGATGGGAATAACGTGTCATCAGGTGCCTGTGGAAGCACATTGGGCTGTTGGGAAGGTTGAGAAGTATCATGTGCCCGTCCGAAGAGCATATGATATATTAAAGGCAGAGCTGAAGGATACCGTGAGCCCTGATCAAGTCCTTCAAATGGCTTTCAAGGCTGTCAACGACACAGCCGGTCCGGATGGCCTCGTTCCAACCCTCCTCGTCTTCGGTGCTCTGCCTCGAATGACGATGGATTCGCCGCCTACACCTTCCGCAATGGCAAGAGCTAAGGCGGTGTGGCGAACGATGTCAGAGCTGAGGAAGATCAACGCCCAGAGGAAGGTTCAGACCGCGTTAAATACGCGTAATGGGCCTGATACAGCGTTGCGCCTGCCCTATCCCTGGCGCTAGGAAGCGAAGTTCGCGTATTTCGCGAGAAGCACGGATGGCAAGGCCCATATAAAGTGCTCGAGGTGACGGATACGGAAATCGCAGTTGACCTGGACAACGGACCAGCGAAATTTCGCAGTACATGCGTCCAACCGTACTATCGTCACCCGGAATCGCTCCTTCCTCAGTTGCAACCCGACCCTAGCCCTAGCCGCACAGACCCATCAACACAACAATCACTCCTTCCTCAACACAATCCGATCAACAACATCCTCTTCAAAACCCTCTTCCCTTCCACCCACAACTCAACAACCTCTTCCTCTTCCTACCACAGAAGACCAACCCAAACCTTTCGAATACCCTGAGCCAAAGAGGCCGCGCAGGCGTGGCCGACCTAGGAAGGATGCTGCACAAAATGGCACATCAGAATCCACTATTGTTTGCTCACCCGTTCAATTTATCGTTCATCATGAAGCTAATGCGTTTCTTGTTCGAAAAGAAATGGAACATCTCGGCCTAGCCAAGCGGCTACGAGCTGAAGGAAAGATCACAAGCACCGGTTTCCCATTTGAAGCTTCCGACACACTCGAGCTCACGAACCTCCTCGCCGCTGGGGTCATTGTACCCGAAGAATTCGATGCGAATAAACATGGTGGATATCGTGTCTTCAAATCACGAATGGTCAGAGAGGTTAAGGGAAGAAATACTGCAACGCCATACGAGAAATCACGCCTCGTTGTGCAAGGATACAATGATGATGGGAAACGTGGGATCCTCACACAAGCCCCTACCATCAGCCGGCCCGCACAACGCGTGGCCTTGGCCTTAGCACCGTTTCTCTGCACACGGGATATGTTCATCATGATCAGAGACATCACGATGGCATACACACAATCCCAGACCAAGCTGGCCCGTGTCATCCTTGCAGCCCTTCCTCAAGAACTCAAAAGAAGATATCCAGAGGGAACAATCCTGCGAATCGTGAAGCCGCTATATGGCATCGCAGAGGCAGGAGCCCACTGGTTCAACACATATCACGACCATCACTGCCGCAAGCTTAATATGGAAACCTCTTCGTTTGACCCGTGCCTTCTGATCACGGCAAACAACATCGCCGACAAGGACCTGTTTGGCATCGCGGCCTTGCAAACGGATGACACATTCATTGTTGGCACAGATGCATTTCTCAAGATCGAGGAGAAAGAACTCTGCTTTAAGGCCAAGCCAAAAGAGATTCTCCAAGAAGGTTCCATCTGCGACTTTAACGGCAGCCGCCTGACCATACAAAATGGCTGTGTCATCGTCAGGCAGAAGGGCCAAGCCCAAAACCTCGAGGAGATCAATCTTCAGGCATCAAGTAGGCATCAGGATTATGCTGCTCAACGCGCCCGGGGCATATATCGCTTCGATTTGCCAACCCGAAGCAACATACGATTGTTCCGTTGCGGCACAAGCCCAAGAGCCCGTTAATACCGACTTCAAGGCTTTGAACAAGCGGATTGAATGGCAGATCAACAATCCCGACCGTGGCCTATGTTACATACCCATCGATCTCGAGAGCGCGAAGATCTTTGTGTTCACCGATGGATCATTCGCCAACAATAAGGATTTAAGCTCTCAAATCGGCTTTGTGATTATCATCGCCAATGAGACCGCGCAATCAACCGATTCATTTTCCATCCGCGGAAACATTCTTCATTGAGCTCAACTAAATGCAAGCGCGTTACTCGAAGCGTTCTTGCATCAGAGATCTATGGATTGACATCGGGCTTCGATCTCGCATTTGTGATCAAGCAAACGGTCAATACGATCGCACAACGCCTTGATCTGAAGCAAATCCCGCTCGTCATTTGCACAGATTCATATAGCCTCTATGAGTGCCTCGTCAAACTTGGCACCACAACAGAGAAGCGACTCATGATAGATATCATGGCGCTGAGGCAGGCATATGAATCAAGGGATATTGCGGAAATCCGTTGGGTCAACGGCGCAGATAACCCTGCCGATGCTATGACGAAGGCATCACTAAACAGCGCCCTCACGCAGTTTATTAGCGACAATCAGCTAAACGTGGGTGGAAGGATTCGTTCATCGCAATAACACAACAATTCTCGACGAGATTTAATCGGTTTTTCGTTCCTTCTTCTGCTTTACCGTCGTTCTTTATTCCATTCACATTAACGAGGAGATCCTCGTGTCCATATTCCAACGTGGGACCGATGGAATCAGCTAGCGCATCCGGCGCTCGAAATGCGGCCCATGATGGCGTGTGGCAGAACACACCCAGTGTGGGGGAGGGAGAGCTACAGTCAGAGCACACTATCCAACATAGTGATGCATCGTGGTAGGAGTTTGTTGGTGTTCTTGTTCGTGTTTTTCCTATCTCATCTTAATTCGCTGTGTTTGGTGTGTTTTGGTGGATTGATTAGTGCGCGATCATCGATTTAGAAAGAGGTTCCAGTGTTGGATCCACCTGTGCACTAGGCACCGATCGCGCACGTATAACTAATCGACCGCGCTAGTCACGTGCGAGTAAGAGGTGAGACACAGGGAGGAAGGTCTTTGCACACAGTTTGTATGGGACACGTTTCCCTAGTTACACAAGATATAACCAATTGAACCAGTTCGAATAACCTCACTGCAGTGAAGAGCCTGTCCACAACTTCGTCAATATTTTCCGGTGTCCCTCCAGCCAATACTATTCTCCCCGCCGAAAGTTCGACCGGGACCCAGGCTTCCAACGTTACCGACAGCGTCTACATTGAATGGAATGAACCGTGGGCGGAGTCGAGATCTACTCTGACGCTACTATTTGTGGTGAATTCCGAACTGCTATCTAATAGCAGTATTCACGATAAAGCCTTCGAGTCGCTGCAGTCCTTGAGCTCGGACTATGTCAGATTTCTTGCTTGGTATCCCTATCCAAAAATATCAGTCCCCGCGCTTGAACCCCCGAACATTACCGAATCAACCTGCACGACAAGTTGGAACTTTACCTACGCAGACCAGTTACTGGGTGACTTTTTACGGAGCACACCTGGCAAAATCCACAGTGTTGGCTTCAGCACTACACCAGCCTGGATGTGGATCAGTGGGCAGAACAAGTATCCTTCCGACGTCAACGAGATTGATTTTCGCTATAACCAAGGAACTCAACTTCGCGACCCAAGCATGACGGAAATCGCTGATTACTATCGGCGCATTGTCAATTGGTACGTCAACGGTGGATTTACCGACGAATGCGGCACCTACCATTATTCTGGTCATCACTGGCCTATCGAGCTATGGGAAGTTCTAAACGAACCGGAACTGGAGCATCAATTTACGCCAGAACTGTACAACAAATTTTACGATGCCATAACTGCGGCAATTCGTGAAGTTGCGCCCAAGATTCAATTTGTTGGGGGTGGGCTGATCAATAAGACCATCGACTGGGTGGAGACCTTCATGGACTCGAGCAAGCACACCCCTGGAACAGAGCTCGGCTGGCTCAGCTACCACCATTACGGCTGGCCGGACCCCAACGTAACCGATGAGCAGGAGCAAGCAACATCGAGCTTCCAGCAGATGGACGATTTCATCCTTCAGGTCCAGAAAATTAACCAGGTTCGAGCGAGATTGAATCCGGGAATGCGCATTGGGTTCGGCGAGATCGGCACCATTCTCCAAAAAGCAGGCATACATATCACTCCTGGATACGTCATTTCAGATGAGTATTGGGTGTGGAGTGCAAGCGTGTTTGCCTATGTCTTTGCAAAGACGTCGGGGTTGGATATCGACGCCATCGCGCAAAGTCAGCTTGATGGATACCCTGGCCAGTTCGAATCAGTATCCATGGTTGACTACCGGACGGCCGAGCCCAATGCACGATATAGGGTTCTTGAAATGCTGCAGAAGAACTTTCAAGCGGGGATAAGCTTCACGACTTCAGCAGACGAAAAGGCTTACCACGCTCAAGCTTATCGAACTGTTGACGGCCAAAGAAAGCTGCTCTTGATCAACAAAACGGCCCAGAACCACACACTTACCATATCCAGTTTCAACCAGGGGCAGGCACAGATTTGCGACGTGAGCTCGGGTTCGAATCCTCATAGAACGGAAATCGTTCAAGGTGACGAGATCACGCTTACACCTTTTGCAACCGTGATCCTCATTCCCAGTTGCTAAAGGCACGGCCTCTCAAATTTGTAAAGTAGGGATTTTAGCGTCATGAAAGCGAAAAGGCCCGTCCGGCAATGTCGCTTGTGCACCATGTGCAGGGATTTGTTACCACGGGTCAAACAATCAGATCTCTCAACCTTGTTCCGATTCTCGCGAAGGAGAGAGCAAAAGTGGGCATAAACGTGGATAAAGGGACTTTTTGAAGGTCGAGTATCATACGATCAGATATTGTGTTGATCGCTCTCCCCGGTTGCCTCCTTCCCGTCCAAACAGCCCCTTTTATATCCTCCGAGCTTCTCCCAAGTTGATATCCCGTTTTCAGGTATAGTATACATTCTATCAGGAAGAGGGCACTTCTTGCCACTTACCGAAGGCCACGTAAGTCATCTACGTCAGCAACATCAGCTCCATCTCCCCGATCGAATAGCTCTTCTAGCTATGAGATCGATAGTTCAGTCTCTTGAGGTCCCTGAGCCAGTAATAGCTATGCCGGACTCCTCAAAGGGTCCCGTTCGAATAGGAGATCCTCCGGATCCTCAGTGGTCCAGGAAGAAGAAATAACAGTCTGCAGACTTCCTTCTTACCTGGTTTCAAGCTGTATTACCTAGAGAGACCTAGAGACCTCAACTCGTTCGGACCTTCTTCTCGACACCGATGAACCCTCACCTGTGTTCCTGCAACGATCCGTCGACAAGGATATATCAGATAGCCTCTAATAAGCCGCTTAACGACTGCGCAAATATAATTACTTCCTTGACAGAAATAAAAATCTCTTTGTAATTTGACTGGCAGTCGGCCAGTCGTATGGTCTCCTCGTCACTATCACAGGTACTTATCCGTCTTCAATCGAGAACAAGCGAACCAGCTTCCTCCGCACCGCCCAGGCTGCGACCACAAGATCCAGTTAGAAAAGGGTTCCGATGGCAAGGAGAAAGAGCCGCCGCGGGGACCGTTGTACGGCATGTCACGAGAGGAGCTCACCAAGACCAAGCCGGGTTGACCGCATTCCGAGTTCCGCCGCCGACCGCGGACTCGATCCCGTTTATCGCGCCGCCGGAGAGCGACGGTTTGCGGTGCAACGATTCCACTTGCGGTTTCGTCATCCACACAGTACGCGGCATGCAAAGAGCATTGCAGGAATAAACACGGGTGGACAAACCAGCAGAAAAGGGGTGGAGACGCAGCCAGTCAGCCGTCATGGATTCGAAAGAGTTGGGAGAGATTATATAGTAAAAATGGTGTCAACTATATGTGACTCTTATCTTTAGAGTTTGTCTTCGCAAGGCCTCACAAACAGCACAGTGCACGTGCTCGTCATATTGAATGATTCGAATTTTATGTACTAACTATCTGTTTACGCGTGGAAATAGACTTTGGCTTCATGTCAACAAAGTCCATGTGATGCATTTTGCATATGGATGAGATGAAGTGGGATGGTTTTCCCTCCAACTAAGCTAAAATACTTCGAACACCCGTTAAGTTGCCAAGGCAAGGGGCTTAACGGCTGAATATCCAGCCCGAAGGGTGAACATCGTATACCTGCAATTCAACTTTCCTAGGGGGGGACCCCCTAGAACCCCCCTTTCGCCTGCAGCGGCCATCCAGCTTTTTAAACCGCTCCTTGACTGGCCCAATCTAACTATATACCCTATATCAACCTCCCCTTCCTGTAGCTTATAGGAAGACGTCGTTTAGTCAAGGTAGAGTGGTGGATACGGTGCATCGCTCAGCTGTTGACCCTGACGCCGTTGTTGGTCAGCGAGGCGCATCTTCATCCCTGCTTTAGCCTTTGTAGTTAGCCGTAAACGCAGCACGTAGGGAGACAGGCTTATAAACCTTCCGTCGGCGTGTGGTTATAGAGGCTCTGACGATCGAAAGGCGCCTCAAGGAGTAAGCCTTGCAGCGACGTAACCCGTGACACAGCAACATAGCTAATACCGGCCTGGAAGTCGCGTGTAGCGAGATCAGTAACTATTTGCTCCTTCGTTAGGCTCTGGCATTTGTGAACAGTGATGGCAAATGCCACCATCAGGGAAACTGCGCGAGCGCAGGTCTCGTTGCCCATAAGGAAATCACGCCTGACTGGGAGGATGGGTGAGATTTTCATGCCCTCGTTAGTTGTTAGATATGGCGGTCCGTCGTAGCTATCAAAGTCCACTATAATAACGGCCGGGGATCTTCCAATGGTTCGGCGCCTGGGTTCCAGGCGATATCGTATACAGTACCCTGGGCGCCGTTAACTAGGCCAGCTGGCTGCCATAGGTTAGTAGTGAGCATTACCCTGGCGCCCTTAGCAACAGGGAACTTGTTAGATAGATTGCCAGCATTGTGGCTTGGTGCCTGCCCCGCGCCCTTGCCCTGATTCTTTGCCTCCACCTGTATTGCCGGGGCGTTGAGATGCACCATATGCTCGTAATTGTATTCGTTGACCCGGGCCTGGTAGAATACACCGCAAAGCGGCCCTGAAGCTGTCAACATCGCTCTGCGTTAGCCTGGACTGTACCCGACTGCTAAGGAGGTTCCAGGACGGTATGGATAACTTGACTTCACGCAGTTCCTGCAACGCCCGACGGAACTGAGCCTGATCATCACCAGCCTGGCGCTGTACCGTGGTCAGGAAGACGGTGCGGTCAAATAACCGGTAGGCCACCTGCCCTCTCCTTTCCAACGAAGACAGGCTGGTGCTAGTCGAATACAGGCTTCTGCCGGACTGGTGGTAACTGGAAGAAATCGCCCACAAGCAAGACGCTCACACCACCAAAGAACTCGAGGCTACGCTGTGGTAAGGCCTGTCGCAGACGGGAATCGATCCGCGCGAGCTGCTCAATCCCCAGCATGCTCTTTTCATCGATAACGAGGTATTTGACGTGCCGTAGGCGGGACTGAAGGGCGGCTGCGTCGGCTGGGGGAAGGTCGGTAAAAGCACCACCTACTGGGAGGCGTAGCAATGAATGAATGGTGCTGCCCTGTATCTGGTTACTCGCAACGCCTGTTGGCGCTACGCGGCAAATAGGGCTAGGATTCGGTAGAGCGGCCGCCTGAAGATGGGAGGAAAGCACCTTGATAAGGAACGACTTGCCGGTGCCACCACCACCATCAACGTGGAGAAGGATTTGGGTGGGATTTCGCGCCTGGAAGTGGCCCATGAATGTGTCGTACACGAGCCGTTGTTGCGTATTCAGCGTATTACGCCAGTGAGGGCCAAGGACCTCCACATCGTTGGCCATGGGGTGGCTAGCGATAAGGTCCTTCCAGTAGCCATCTCGAAGTTCCGGATATGTACCCACATGCCGTGTCCAGTCGTAATGGACGTCGATATCGCGGCGGCCAAGAAGGTCAAGATCTTCCTGGGTAAGGGTGGTCAGGTAAAGGGCAGCGAGGCGAATCCAGTCTTCGTCATCAAATTCTTCCCCCACAGGCAGAGCCTCATATTGATCATCTTGAGGCTGTAATCGAGCCTCTTTTGGCTGGCCGTAATGGTCATCACCATGATTGTGATGCTGCCAACAATAGGAGAAGGCCTGAACGTGGGAACTAAAAGCCTGGCCGTCGAAAGTGAGGAGCTCATCAAGCCGGCGATGTGGGTGATTTAATGTCAGCTTTACACGGCAATAATCTGGCCATTGCTGGCCTTCTGGAGCAGCCTGATAGCGAGGAAAGTAAACCAACACACGGGGCCTGCCGTTGACGTTACCTGGCCGCCATTGCTTCCATGCGGAAGGGTCTCTAGAGCGGAAATTCCAGTGTTTGAGGAAGGAAACGTAGGTCAGGTCCTTCAGGGCTTCCGGGCGCTGACTGTACTTTTCGTAGACGTTGGGGGCCTCGTCAACCTCATCGCCGTCAATGCGTAGGGAGCGGGAATGTCTGTCAGGATGACGGCAGTCAATGTATAGGCATATTCGTGAGCCCTCCTGTAACGGCAGGCCGAGGAGTAAGTGGCTAACCTCCTGCTTCGAGTAATCCCGTTCAGCAACTAGCTGATCCAGGAGCTTTGACGTGAAAGAAATCAGGGGTTGTGGTCCTGACCCGGGGCATCAGCGCCTTCCCAATCTGGGCAAAAGACTCGCTCTTCTTTTCTGACTTGGAGCAGTATTTGGCTGCGTAATCGATCACCTGCTGGAGGCTCGTGCAGGAGAGACATCTGTATTGGCTAGCCATGCAACGGTAAGCAAGCGGTTGTAGTGGTTAATCTGGCCATCGTTCCTCTCACCCCTAAAGCTCCAGTGCTTGGAGTGAGGCAACTTGTCAAGGAGGCTAGTAGGCGCTGTCCGTGAGGAAATCCAAATCGGCACTCTACCTGCTTGGTATGCTTATTGGGCTGCATACAGTAGTTGTTGCAGCGGTGGCGTTGCACGCGGTTGACTACCATCGATAGGAACTGAACGGTAAGGGGCTGCTCCAATAGATTGCTGATCAGGATTCCCTTCCCAGGAGCCTGTATTCGCTGAGGTGCAAAGCTCGGATCTGCGTCCGTGGCGACCTGCAGGACGAGGACGACGGACGGGAGACATATGCAGCCACCCTTGCAGCAAAACCTTCAGAATCGTGATGGCAATCGCAGCCCGATTCGGTCTTGACGTTAGACAATTCGACGTTGGTAACGCCTTCCTGTACAGCGACCTAAAGAAGGACCATCCCGTCTACGTCCGGCTCCCGCAAGGCTTTGTAGAACTTGGTTTCTTGAAACCTGGAGAAGGCTCAACCATGATCGCGGAACTTGACAAGGCCTTGTATGGTCTTCGAGAGTCTCCACTGCTCTGGTACAATGAGATCTCCCAGGCCCTCAAGGAGGCAGGGATTGACCGTACGGATGAAGAACCTTGTGTGTTTACCAACGGCAAAATCCTGGCTCTTGTCTATGTCGACGACATCTTGATTCTCAACCCACGGCAAGAGAAGAAGGCGGTAAACGACCTGGTCCAGCATCTCCAATCCAAATACGATCTGCGCGAAGAAGAATTTAAGTGGTATCTTGGCATCAGAGTTGTAAGGGATCGACCAAACAGGAAGATCTACCTCTGCCAAGACGCGTACGTCGAGAAAATTGCGCGAAAGTTCAAGCTCAGCGACTTGAAACCCGAGTACCATCAATCCCCATCGCGACGATCCCGCTCGTCAAGTACAACGGGCAGGCTACCAAGGAAGAGATAAAGGCGTATCAGGAACGAGTTGGATCCTTGATGTATATCGCGGCCATGACCAGACCCGATATAGCACGAGCAGCAGCCCAGCTCGCGAGGTTCCTGACAAACCCATCGCCTGAACACCTTGAAGCCGCAAACCAATGCATCCGATACCTATACTCAACGAGATTCCTTGCAATCATGTACGACGGGATGCATCAGGAGAGGTACTTGTGATCGCAAGCGACGCGTCATTTGGAGATGATATCGAGACCCGTCGTTCATCGCAGGGATATGTGATGATGTTGTTCAACGGACCGGTCATATGGAAAGCTGGACTCAAGACACAGTCACGACTTCAACCACCGAAGCAGAAATTCTCAGCCTAGAGAGAACAACCAAGGAGAGTTACGCCCTGGACCGACTATTAAGGATATCTCTCTTGATCTCGGGCCTCTGAAGATTTACTGCGACAACCTTCAGTCGATCCGACTAGTGGTTGAGGAGAACCAGAGAATCACGACCAAGTTGCGGCACGTTGACATACAGAACATGTGGCTAAAACAGGAATTCAAGAAGGGTAGGTTCCTAGTGGAATACTTGAAGACTGATCAGATGCCAGCAGACGGATTGACCAAAGCGCTATCGAGAGCGAAATTCGAGCACTTCAGATCGATGCTGAATCTGACAGATATCAAGAGGGAAGCAAATTTGGAAGTGGGATGTCGATGACCTTCTAGGTCAGGCTGGTTGTGATAGCTTCTAGCAGCGTTGACTTGATCACTCAACGCTGGGGGGTGTGTCGCATATCAAGCCTGCCTAGGATGATTATTCATGAAGTGGCGATGTTACTCGCAACGCCGCTGTTGCCTGCTAGGCAACCACTACCGGTACTGCGTAATCACGCGACGGACCTTTCATTTGCGTATAAAGAGCTGCACAACTCCGTGCGTTCGTTCATTCACTTCTTGTTCTTTAGATAATTCTCATCAATTGCCTGATGCCATCTCTGACCCGTGTGGAGCCAAATGTCTGACAAGCTTCCGTTCGCTTGACTATGGCAAACCTATTTCGGCGTATATCTCAACATCAACCGACTTCAAAGTCGCGCTTGCATACGCCAAGCATCGTAGTACACAGAGCAAGGGCACTCATGGATATGTCTATCACATACAAGCAACGCCGAATGTGATTCCTCTGTCCGGAAGCATGGACCTACTGTCGGACGCCAAAGCGTTGTCCGAGTATGACGCGTTGGGCGGATACACTGGGACCAAATCATTGGCTGGAATGCAATACCCTGACTCCGCGCCCGAACAATTCGCAGAATATGAGGCCAATCCAGAAAAGGACCTCATCGCCAATACGGAATATGACCACAAATACGACCAGTATTCTGCTAGTGGCCCTCAGCCACAGCTTGATGAGAAAAATTAAGATCCAGCTGGAGGAAAACGGCATATCAGTATGCCATAGACTTCATGAACAGCGTGGGGATGCTGTGGGGTGGAAGGAGCTTTCATTTACGGCTCCGGATCATGCAGAGAAAACAGCTTTGATAGAGGCAAAAGCCAAGGAAGCCGCTGAGACAGCTCAGCAAGCCAGCAATGCCGCCAATGATGCCGAACGGGCAGCTACTTCGGTCGACGGTGAGACAGATCATCAAGCCGCCTTTGCTGATGCAGAAAGGGCCGTTAAAGCAGCCAGAGGGGCAAAAGACCTTGCCAAAAAGGTAGCCAGCCTATGCCAAGACTATTTTGCTCTTCGTACGGATGTTTATGCCTTGAGGAACGAAAGGCCTTCTAACGTGCCCCGCAGACCCCGCCCTCTCCCCCCAAAAGTTCTCCGCCCCTTGATTGGTCCCTTGTGATTGGTCCTCCTTGCCTCCCTCCTCGTTGGTCGCTGCCCTTCCCGGCTTCTGTTGCCTTTTCGCGTGCCTTATCCCACCACTAGGCGCCTCCCACCCTGTCTGCCGCCTGCCGACTCTTCCCGCCTGCCGAACTCTTCATCGCGTCACCTAGCGCGGCCGCCTTGACTCTTCAGCATCACCGTCCAGCCAGCGCAACGCCTCCTCAACGGTCCTCTCGCTCAGTACCTCGAGCCTGGCCTGTGCGGCAGTCATCTCCTCGGGGACCCGGTTGCCCACCAAGTCTCTGTCCCGCACCTTGACACGAGCATGATGCCGTCTAGAGTTCGGCAGCGCGATAGCTGCACGTACAGGCCGTACGGGTCGCACTGCGAGGGCACCACCGTTCCATCCATCTTCGTCGTCCGTGTCCTCGCAGCTCGAGGGCCACGCGCTCCAGCGTTTTGCCCTGCACCTTGTAGTCCGTGCACGCGAACGCTGCTGCGCACGGCAAACCCTTTCGGCTGACGTCGTTGCGTTGCCACGGCCTTTTCGCTGGCACTGTATCTTAACGGTCATGGTGTCAACAAGATCGTGCCCGGCGGCATCCCGACGAAGTGGAGATATCTCGTCGTCTCCGATTCGAGAATGATCCCGCCGGCGGCCCGAAGTGGATCGTCATATCGGCCGAGATCCGATGCCCCGGGTACGCCTTGTCGACAATGACCTCCACCGCCGAGTAGCTCGCGCCGTTCACTAGCTTCAGCCCCTGGTGGGTGTTGTGGTTCACGACGATGGGCATCCCGGCCACGAACATGAAGACGGCCGGCACCGGGATCGCGCTATCGTCGCCCTGGTTGAGTATCATGATCGCCTCTTCCTCCGTCGGCAGCTCCTCCTTCCACTTGTGCTCGGAGATGAAAATGCGCATCGTCGACCGCTGCTGGACCCGGAACGCCAGGCTCGCCTCCATGTTCAGGTTCCACCGATTCCTATTGAGCGGCGTCACCACGGTGATGCCCGTCTCCGGGATCCGCCTTCCTCCCGGTAGCACCTTGAGTTGAGGAGGTTTAGATCCGTCCGATCCTGCACGCCTAGACGGATCCGCTTCAGCAGCCTCTGCAGCTCCGGGTCGCCGGCGGCGCGCATCTGCTCGTCCAGCATGACGACCGTCGTGAACCTCTTCCACAGTGCGTGCGCTTTGTCGTGCTGGTGACGCTGCTCGGCCTTGAACGAGTTGTCTACGTCCCACGAGATGGCCGCGCTAGGCAGGACGATCGACCTCTCTTGACCGGCCGGAACTGCTGAAAATCTCCGCAGAAGAGGACGATGGGGATCCCCCCGAAATCTTGCCGCGATCCGCGAAGCCGGCGAAGCCGCTCGTTCACGGCGTGCAGCGTCCGCGCCCCGAGCATGCTCACCTCGTCGATGACGAGCACATCCTTCTCCTGCCAATCCATTCGAGACTGGCCGTGGATGAACCGCTCCGCCTGTTTCGGCAGCCGCACCCCGTCAAGGTCTTTGACCATGTTCGCGCCCCCCGCCCCTTGGTCTTTAGTGAACCCGCAGGCGGAGTGGATCGTGATGCCGTTGATCCGCGCCGCCGCAGTCCCCGACGTCGCCGTGATCAGCAGACGATTCGAAAGGCTCTTTTTACTGAACAGCTCGACGAGTGCCTCGATGATTCGCGACTTGCCGGTACCGCCCTCGCCACCGACGAACTGGCGCAGCTGGCAGGCATCGCCCCGTGGGTCTGCTGCATCAAATCGAGCTGGCGGCATATTATCAGAAAAGCGATGGACTGCCTCTTGTTCAGCGTCAGCCGTGTTGCCAACACCTTGCCCGCCGCGAGGAAGGAGGTTGATGGGCCAAACTGAACGTCCATTCCCGCCCCTGCGTCGATAGCGGTCTCGTCGGAGTCGGCCATCGTCATTTCGACCTCGTCCTCCCGAAACCGGTCATCACCTTCGCAGCTGCGCGGCGATCGCTTTCCCAGGCGGCGGGCGTGCTTTGTATCCCTTGGATCATCCTCTCCCTCCTTCGAGGCACTTACCTGCTGCGACTTGATAGCCTTGACCTGATCCTGCGGCGGTAGTGCGGCCCCGGAAAATACCCGCCCTGGCATGCTTAACCGCCTCTCCCTCGTTCGATCAGCGCCGTGGCCTCGAGCTCGGCCGTCGAGCGCAGCGCCGATTGCTGAAACCGACAGAGCTGCTGTATCATTGCCATGAGCTCCGGCGACTTGGCCGTCACCTGATTCGCTCCCACTGCACCTCGGACGACGTCGATGAGCCGCGTTGCGTCTCCGATGCTGTTGGGCTGATATGTCGCTGCAGACTCCGCGCCCGCCTCGCCTGCTCCACCCTCCTCGACGTGTGCGACCGTCGGGTCGCCATCGCCGGACGAGGCTGCCCATTGCTTGGCGTCGCGTTTTGCGTCTTCGGCGGATCGTCGAAGCAGCTGCACGTTGTCGACCAGACATGATATTCTCGGGGCCATAGCGTCTCGAGCCCGCGCCCAGATGCTGTTGATCTCACCTGTTCCTTCGCCCAGGAAGGACTCCCACGGCACGAACAGCGCAAGATGCTGCACGGCTGCCCTTCAGGGGGTGGGTTAGCCTCTCCGATAATGCCCGCTGACAGAGCAGTTGCCATACACACCTCCGGTAGCACGACTCGTCATCGTAGGTGAAGTCCTTGCTCAGGTAGCCGTCGAGGCAGACGGTAGCGTGCTTGCCCGGCCGCCTGAGCACCTGAACCCAGCGTCGTCCCGGCGCCCATCCATCCTCGAAAGACATCTCCCTGCCGCCCAGCTCTCGTCGTTGCCGATGCGTTTCAGTCTGACGATCGATATGTAGTCATACAGGCATAGGCCTTTCAGCAGCTCTCCCGGTGCTGGTACGCCTCGACGTGGAGATTCTCAGGCCTTCTTCTTCGACGACGACCGACTCATCCAAGGTGTCATCCGTAGCCGCAGCGCCACTGGCTTCTCGGAGATGCCGCCATCGCCGAAAGACTTCCCAGTACAGCAGAGAACAGTTCAGGTACGCCCACGCGCTGCTGTCGGTGAACTCGGCCGGATATCCGAGAAGGTGAGCGACGACCTCGACCTGTGATAGCGGACGCCCGTGAACACGCGGTTCGCCACTCATCAGGAACTGTCGCGTCCTGTTCCCTTGACAGGGTCATCGGTGGCAGCGTCTCCGCCACCGTCCCGCCCTCCGTTTGCCGTGCCATCACCTGTTGAGGCGGCCAGGAGCTCGGCCGCGGCCGCCACACGCTTCCACACCGGGTCCTCCACCTTGGTCGCGTAGTTCGTGACATAATAGATGAGGGCCATTGTCTTGCGCTGCGTCGCAATGAAGGAAATATCATGGTTGTGCCGGAGCCCGACAGCAATAGCCTCGTTCCATCGATTGACCATGCTGTGTGTCCTCCGGATCTGCAGCACCCCGTCTGCCGTGAGGGCGGTCTTGTCGACTAACCTCCATGGCGCCTTGAACCGGCAGAGGTCCCTTCCGCCCTCCTTGCCCAAGGAATACTTCACACAGGTCGGGCTATGCGTGTGCACCTGCGTCGCGCCGGCACAGAAGTTGGCCTCCTCGATAAACGCGGCCGAGAACTGCGCGGCGTTGTCCAGCAGGGAACCAATACCGCCCGTCACAGATCGCTCCGCTTGCACGGCGCAAAAACTTTCCTGGTCCAGATCCTGCCTTGCACGTCAACCCGGCCCCACTTGGCCATCAGAAGAGTACTTCAGGCTCCCGGTGGCACATCTTAGGTAGGCATTCTTACCTCTGAGAAGACGCTATCGATGTATCGGACGATTCGCTCGCGATACGCCGCCTGATCCTCCCCGTGGATGTCGGCAAGCATCGAGCTGAGATGCGCGTTCCCGTGCAGCCAGAGCAAGCCGTGAACATGAAGCGCCCTCGTTCGTTCGTCTCCACGGCGCCATAGTACTTGCCGATGCGCCCGAATACCGACTCTTCACCGACCTTCACGTAATGATCGAAGAACAGCTTCATCTCGCGGTGGAAGAACACGGCCGAGCTCATGGGATCCGATATCGCCAGCCGTGCCCGCTTATACGCATCCCCAAGGCCTTCTAAGAACTCCTCGGCCGCGTCGGGATCGCGTGTGCGGTATGCCGCCAGTCGCAGCTTCACCGGGTTCGTAATGTCGTTCGGGTTGATGGTGAACCAGATGGCCGGCACGCCATATCCGACGATGAGCGACTGGATTTTCCGCCGCATATTGAGACGGACCTCTCGACATGGGCTGCCGGTGGCCGTAAAGCGAGAGGCTCCTGAGAAGCTCCTTCACGTCACCATCGGTCGTCTTACCCGAGCTCTCCAACTCGACCCTCGCCGCCGCTAGCCTTTCTGTGGTCATCGAACGCACGATGCGCTCTACCTTGCGGAAGTTCTTCCTCCCACACTCAACATGCTGACCCGGCGGTTCCTCGACCGCACCCCATGTTGAAGACGAGAAATGCGAAGATGTGGTGCAGTGCAAATCGACCACCATGGCGCCGGAGCACGATCTCGGCCCACGCCTGAAGGTTCAAGCTTCGAGACGATACGGGGTCCCGCGGCCGCCTCTGCCTCGACAGCCCTGCCTCGCAAGTTGGCCGTGACCTTCCCGCGTCGACCATGGTCTCTTCAACCAGCCTTGGTCCCCAACGCCAAATGGGAACAGGGTCGGGAACGTCCTGGCAAAGAAGGACGCCTCAAAGGAATCGGTAAACTCACCCCGCGAAACCCGGATGTATGGCTCACAACCACCGTCGCCACGCCCCGAACCCCGGCTAGGGACCCGACCCACGCTCTGGCCCGCACGGCCGTCGTCGGCACCTTCACCAACAGCGTCACAGGCAAACTGCAGCTTCTCCACGTCCGCGACGTCTGGCGGTCCGTCGAGCGCGAACATGCCAGAAGACGTCACCTCGTTGATCGCTGGAACGTTCTGGTCGGGGCAGGCGTCACTTCCATCGCGAACCGCGCCTTCTCCGTTGGGCCCGTGACCTTCACCCTGGCCGCCGGCTTCTTGTCCTTGGTTGAGCAGGGCGAAGAGCTCTCGATCTCCACCGGCCCTCCTCGTCCACGGCGCGTTCCGTGGGCGGCACAACGTGCGCCGTCCGCGCTTTCTCCCACCCAGACGGCTCGTTCCGCTCCATACGATCGCACACCGACGACGGTACCCCGTGTATCGAGTCTCCCAGCTCTCCATCTCCGCCGCGTCGATCTCGATCTCGGCGTAGTGGGGTTGTTCCGCTTCAGCCAGACAAGGGCCCTCTCGACCACCCGCCGCCTCACCGACAAGAGACTCGACAGGTCGCTCGGTGCCGGCTTCTCCGCGCCCTGCCACGAGATGTGGATCTCGTCCAGTGCTTGCAAAGGGGGTGCGGGAGCACTTGGTGGCCAGCTCCTGCACATTGTTCGGAAACACTGTGATGTGGCCCTGACATGCCTCGGATACTTCACGCTCTGTCTCTGCCCGCCCGGAATGCTATATCTCGTGACAAACCCGTAACATGAGTTCAGCGAGATGAGCTTCTTCGACCGGCGTCAGTCCCTTGAGCTCATCGGGGAACATGTGCTCGCAGCCAAGGCGACTGTGAAGGTGGATCGCCGGCGACAGGCTCCTGCGCGCCAGGCATCGGCCACACTCGGCGCACACCGACACGGACTCGCCCTCAGGAAAGCAACTCCGGCATGAAAATGGTGAGCGGCCGCCCTTTGGTACGCAACTTGACAGCCAATGATCCCATGTAATCTCCTCAACTCTCCTCTCGTACACTTGCGGTAGCACACCATGCAGGTCCGTATCGGCAACGTGCTCGCATCGTGGAACGCCTGATAGAAGTCTCGCACCGTCGACACCTTCCTCTCGAGCGGTATTGGCGTGCACCACGTCTGATCGTTAGACAATCTCTCCTTCAAGGCAAAGTCTTCCTCCAAAAAGCGCAGCACACTCGCCAGGTCTTCGGCCTGCAGCTCCCGTCTCCTATGCCTTCCGATTCCACTTCGGACCTGTTTTATCGGGCGCCCATCCCGGCTAGGAAGACGGGCTCTTCTCCCGCCTCCGGGACTGCCTCTGTCCGCGCAGCGAGCCGTCCGCTGCCTCTGCTGCGCCATCGTCCACACCCACCTGTGCCCTTGGCCGCCGAACCGGTCCCCGACGGAGCTTGGGCAAACCCCATGCAATCGATGCTGCAAATTGCGCCGTTCGTCTTAGGTCTTGGAAAGTCGTATCCTTGGGCTGGATAGGTCGGAGCGTCGGTCCCCTTTCGAACGAACACCCGGGACACCGCCGGTCGCCGCCTTATCTCCCTGCCCGTCACCTTCAGGACCCTCTCCTGGGGCAAAACGGCCGATGAAGGGGCGGACTGTCAGAGCCCACTGCCCCTGGTCTCCACGTTCTGTAGGCAACACGAACCTCGGAAGCGGACTCGGTGACTGACGTTGCGCGGAATTTCCGCTGCTGACCAAATTACGGGACTTCCGTGCTCTGCTTGATCGCAAACCGCCTCGCGGCGGTCTTCTCGGCAGTGACTTTGCGATCGCCCCTGCATGCTTTCTCCATGCGGTTTCTTCGACCGCAGACTGCTTAGGCTGAATCAGCCGGAACGTTAATGCTTCATTCGCCACTGATCTGTATCTCCCGAACCGCCCCAACCTTGTCTCCCGTGCCCGTGCCCTTCTCGGAGTTGCCCTGTATCATCTCCGCACCCCGAAACAGGCACTCCCGTTCCTACCTCTTCTCCATCCTCGACTGACAACGAACAGGCTCCACGGTGAGCGGCCGCCTCGCCTAGCTTCCCTGCAGGACTGTCCGCCATGCTACTGCCTCCTCGACGTCGACTAGCGTGGATTGGCAACAGGCTAGAAAGTTTTGGCCCGGAGCACTTCCACTTGATAATCTCGCTTCTGGCGTACACTATTTCTTTCCGAGTGGAAGCTTCCTAACGATCACTACTCTCATGGCCGTGGCATTTCTTCCTTATAATGCTTGCCTATGGTACCGAAGCGATGCAATACTACTACCCTTTGTAATCCCCATTTACCCTCCCTATGTGCGTCCACCGTCCTGACCTCGGCTGGTCTCCACGTGCGACCTGCTACCCCAGCTTTGCCAAAGGCGGCCCTTCCATCGCCGTGCTCTCTTTGCGCACTCCAGCGAATCCTGGCTACCGCCGACCTCCGGCACATGGGGTGGCCGCGCCAACCGCCCGCCGCACACTTCCAACCATACTCCGGCCCTTCCAACGCCGTCCCACCCACCTTGCGCATCAGTTGCTCCATCAATATCTGCCACTCCACCTCGTCGAGCAACAGCCAAAAGGCTGCCGGCGATAACATGTCCACGGTGTCCTCGTGCAACCGGACTACCCGGCTAGGTTTGCTCCTCGCCACCACCAACGTCGCATCAACGGCCTTCATGCAAAGCGACAGCCAGGATCCCCTGCCTGTCCTCTTGTAGTCGCTAGCCACCGGAGTCTCGACTTGCAAACCTCTTGGAGAGTTCTCGTGACCAACTCGCATCCTCCTCCTCAGCTCGTCCCCTATATCCGACTTCACCGTGTCCCAATAGTGGACTCGACACGGTCGGCACCCGCCTCGCTCAGCCGCACGCAATGCCCATCCAACTACCGACGACCGTCAAAAAGGGACCCCTGCAATACTACCATAACCTCTTTCTTTCCTTCACTCTCATTCGTTATTGTCGCCTTTGCTATCTACTCCATGCAACGATGACACCGAAGGGTACTGCTGGACTTTCTTTCTCCGCAGACTTACCCACACTAACCTTACTGTTCGCCGACCTCCAACTTCTCGCGACATAGCCATCACCCCTACTCAACTTCCAACCCCGGCCCCTACTTCACTCACGACCATAGAACCAGATGGTCGAGACTGTTCAAGAACCTCGCCAGCTCATTCCCGCATACCCCGCTTCTGATCTATCACCTAGGTAGCATTCTCTGACTCTTAAGTCTCCCCGACCCTAGCCGCGAGCCCTCTTTCGAGCAGCAAGAAAACCTGCTTTATAGGATGCCCACCTCCACTCTGCGTAACCCTCATTTACACTTCCACGGTGACTACATCTGCCATGTTCTCACGATGTCGGCCTCCCAGCTCAACGTCGATACCTCGTCCTCCCGCGGCAACCTCTTGACAGCCAGAAAATGCTGGCGCCGACATGTCCATGATGGCCTTTGTCCAGCCCGGCTGCCCGGCTAGGTTCGCCTACCAGAATGAGCATCGTGTCAAAGGACTCAACGCAGAAACCCTAGCGAGGGTCTTCCTTCCCACGCCCTCATGGCTGTCGACTCCGGAGTATGCAGCAATCCGGTCAGATACTGGCAATCCATCGACCTGCATCTTCTTCAGCCTTAATATTTCCATATACAACCAACAGATAATCTCCTCGGAATGGACCGAGCAATGGTTCTTCATGGTCGGCCGTGTTCATCCCTTTGCCCTGACGTGGAAATCGAGCGACGTGATGGCTTGAGTCGGACGATGATAACATCACAGAATACACCGTCCCCGCGCTTATAGTCCGCGATCACAGCTACCAACCGTGAGTCTATGCTCCAAATCTCTCTGTCGCCACTGCCCTCCTGACGATATCCATAGAATTGTCACTGCACCTCAGCTCGGTGGATACTTTCCCAACGATACAACCCATTGTCTCCTTCACGGGACCTGTCATCGGCTCCGGCCGCGACCTCCTGCATGGAAACTCGGCTGCGGCCCTTGACGACACCCAGCTGAGCTGCTGCGGCTTTGTCCAGCTCTCCACCTTTATTTGTCCTGGGATTCCCGGCAAAACCCCCTTCAAGGGCTTTCGCCCTTCCAAGTTTTCGTCATCTTCCCATTCACGCTAATCCTTGACCTCCTATGCAAGAAGATGACCGAGAGGCGCGACAGCCAGTTCCAGTCGAACGCTCTTCACCTGTACGGGCAAAATCGCCGGCTTACTGGATCACCAGATCATGAAACATGCCCCGGCTTTCGACCAAGACTATATCTTCATCGTCGTCCCCGACACGTGGACTTTCCACGACAAGGCCATGTCCGACCAGGCTTCTGCAACACAACTACTGCCGACGACACCCAAGAGCGCGGTCGGCAATCCTCGGACTATAGCGTTGCGTTGGCCAGGTTTACCTCTACGAAGAAACCCAAGGCCGCCCAAAGCCCCGCCTCCCACGCCGCATGCTTCTGGCCCAGTCGATCCCCTTATGCTGGCATCAAGTCGGTCAATGCCCGATCCCTACCAAACCCCAACCAAGAGACCGCGACTTTCTCCCGAAACTTCCACCATAATCACCGACTGTGACGGTCAAGACTCCCCCAAATCCGATACCTCCTCCTTTCTGTCCCCGGAAGACCCCGCAGAGTCAGAGACGGACACCGAACAGGTCAATCACCAAGACACATCCGCCTCTGGCTCTATCAGACCTCCCGCGTCGATATCTTCCGACCACTGCGCGCCCGACGTCCGCCCAAGAATATTCTCTAAACTTTAAAGCTTCAAACGAAACAATACAACATGACAACATGTCTCATCATCCTCAAAATCAACTGCCAAAGGCTCGAATAGCACATTCTCTTCTCTTCTTGTTCTCCTTTTCATGAAGACGATCAAGTCAAAACTTCCCCAATATACTCCTTATTCTGTTTATACCTACGACTTATACCGGTAGCACATGTAAATTTTCCGAGCCTTCCACTCGCCCAGACATGCATTACCCACTCACATCTCTCTTCAACCCTGCCGTCTCTCCACGCCCTTTGAGTTTGCGCCTTTTAAACAAAATCTCCCTCCAGCGGCCTAGCCTGCCTCCCCGACGCTCTGTCTCGGTTTCACTCACGATAATGCTCTACGTCTCTCGCCGTGTCTCGTATCTCGACCTCACTCTTCTTCCTGTCTCCTATCTACTGTCGCCAACTCTCTCTCTTCTGTAGCCAACTCTTCTCCGGTTCTCTTGTCGCCAAATTTCGTTCCGAAAGGCTTCTTTGCGCGAGCCGCGGCTGGCGAGCCTTCCTCGTTCAGCCCGAAGGGCGTTCTACTCAGTCAGAAAGATTCGAGCATAAAACCTCCTCTGATTGGCTAATTGGCCTGGCTTGTGCTCAACTCGTGCGCGGATTGGTCGGCCGATAACGTCACCAAATGAAGGCCCGCAAAAATACCCCTGAGCGTTGACTAGGTAACTGGCCAGCTTGGCAGGCTCTCAAGAGCTTCCAGTTCTTCCTTTCTTCCATCCATGCCATCAATTTACTGGGTCGCTAGGCACTCTTTACACTAACCTACATAGCGGCTGCTTCTCTTTCTGCCCAATCTATCAAACTAATCATGTTACTAACGGTTTATAGGTTCACCTATTACCTCGGCAGCCGGCCCACCTCCCAAGATTCTCCGGTTATTCTGTCTCTTCTAGCAGTCTGAAGGGTAAGAGGTGGATACATATACGGCCAGATGGAGGACGACATACCCCAGGCAGTTCGGAATTGCCATACCTG